CGCCCAAGGACATCGCGGCGGAGGCGCCGTCCCAGGGCTTCCCCAAATCCAGGGGCCGGTGACCTTGACCGAGCTGGGTACCCTGCGCTGCCATCGGCCGTTCACAAGCAGCTCGGGAAGGAGCGCTGGAGCAAAGGCCTTAGAGCAGGAGCGGCAGCAGTAAAGCCTCCAGGATTTGCCCTGCGTGCCTTCCTGAAGGGAGCTGGTGGCATGACAGAAGGACGTACAGCCTTCAGCAAGGTCTCTCTGGACTTGTTGCTGTAGTCCTGCAGCTGGAGATTTCCAGGGTTTGTTGCTGGTGCAGCTGTCAGGAAGATGGTTTGCCTTAGCAGGGATTCACTGAAAACAAGTCAAACACCCAGAAGTAAAAAGGTTGAAATAGGTGGGGGGGGTGGAGGAGGGAAGATGAAGATGCTACTCGTACCATTGTGGTGGCAATACTCATTTTTTGTAGACTTCTCCTCTTTGGTTTTCTTGGAGTTGCTGGTTGCTTCTAGTAATCCTTCAGTGTGAAGTAGGTGCAAGAGTACCTCCCTGTTGTATAAGAGGAGTTGGGATAGTAGAGAGGAGGATCCCTGTGATAAATGCTACTACTTCACTTAATCTACATGCGTGGTACTTCAGACTCTGTATTTTAAAATGCTTTAGGAATTGGGATGCTTGTTTATCTTTTGCTCATGAATATCACGAGTGTGGCACAAATAACTATGTATTGAGAGCAATTCTGCGAGTCCTTGGAGTGATTTCTAGATGGTGCAGTTTTGACAGAGAAATGCAGGGAAGCTCTGCACAGAGCATGTATGTCGTTCATCCAGAAGCAATGGGAGATGTGGTAAAAGGGTGCCTGGAGAGCAGCTCAGGGCCACGGGAATACTTGCTCCATCACCCCTGTGCCCAAAAAGTGTCCAGGACATGTGATGTAGTGAATGGCACCAAGACTCAGGTGCTCCAGCTGGCAGATAGGAAAAAGCATCCATTGCTCTGCACTATGTTCTGCCAATCCAGTTTTTACCGAGCTTTTAATCTGTGCAGTAGTTGCATACCTCAAGCCTGGCCATATTCCTGGTGTAGAGCCAAGTGAATATTCCCCAAACCAGTGCTCCGGGAGGAGAGGAGGCCACGCGGTTGGGCTGTGACATGATGTTCGGCTGTGTCCCCGCAGAGGGGAACCTGCCTTGCCCTGCTTAGCTGGTGCTCGCTTCTCTGCTCTCGCAGCTCCCACTGCCTCGTGTTCGTGTGTATAGGCGTGCGCAAAGCACCTGAAGTAAGATGTCAGTGGGTCACTCCTCCTTTCTCTTCACCCATGCTGTCTGCTCTAGTAAAGCACATTGTAAATCAGACCCTACTGCTTTTCAGGGGAAGTTGGCACAGCAGCCTGTTGCAACTCTGAAGAGCCTTGTCTTGCCCTGCTACCTGACAGGAGTATTTCTTGTTTCCTCCCCTCCAAAAATTAGGGATGGCTTTGCTCTCCCCCCATGTTTGAAGGGTATTCAAAAACTGTATCAATAGTTTTCAAAACTGTTTGCTCGTAGGGATGAAGTGGCCTGTGAAGGAAGTTGTTCCTTACTGCATCTATGGGGTTAAATCAGTTTCTGTGAAAAATGTGAATCTCCCTTTTTACTTCTTCTCTGTTGCAAGTATCTCACTTCATTTTTCTTTTCCTCTTTTAGACCGATAACTGGCATGGTGCAACACTACTTCCTTTCATTAGATCTCAAAGGAGATGCACTTGCACAAGAGTTCGGTACCTGTTTTCCACTAATACCTGTCATAACTATGACAGTATTCACCTTCTCATATTACACATAACCCAAGACCAGCTATTATTTTCAATTGCTTCAGAAATGAGTCAGAGCAAACCAAAAAAGTCTGAGTAAATAAGTAAATTATTTGAAAGTAAATCTTTTTGTACAGCCCAATCATTTTAGCTATTTTGTTTATAGAGTGATGTGTTTACACAACCTTCTGAACTTTAAAGTCCCCTTGAAGGATCTAGCCGATTTCCCAAATCTGAAAAGTCTTGCAGGAACTGAGGCTTGTCACCAAGAGCAAAGCCAAAGCCCCTCTAAGATACCTCCTAGAACAGTTCTTCAGGAACTCTCAATTTTTAAGTATTTGCAATTTAAACCTGGTGTTGGTCTCTAGCCACAAATTTGAGGTCTTGCTTGGGAATCAGCTCTGTTCAAACCCATGTAATAAACTATGCTTAAACTGAAAATACAGGGAAAGCTTGCCCTGAGATTTCAACTTGCCAATTTACCTCTCTTCTCTGGCAGAGCTTATCATCAAAGGCCAGTTCTGCTCCAACATGCAAGTCCTGTCACAGGGTGGGGGGATTTAGAGCCCAGAACATGCTCAGCCCACAGAAAGCTGGAAAGGAAGGGGTTTGTACATAAATTGTAAGAAGCAGCTAGTTACGTAAGAAAATGACTGAGGAAACTTCAGAGGAGGGAAGAACAGGAAATTCTTTGAAAAATTAATTTGGCCTTGGAAGAAAATGGGACAGAGCTGCTCCAAGAATGTTTTTGTTAAAGACAAGCTGCATCTTCTCCTTCCTCTGTGCCTGAGTAGAGAAAGGAGAGTGCACCAATAAATCAGCCAGACTTCAAAGTTAGGGGGAGTTGATTTCTTTTTTTAATGTGGTGGTTTTTTTTTTTTTTTTTTAGCCTACAGTTTTCAGGGAGTAGTTAAGGCATGAAATCAGTCTAAAACATTAACTGCTTTCAACTGCTGTGCTGTTACTTGAATGGTTGGGAGCCTCTCTCCAAATGAAATCCCAATGGGTGCTACAGATCATCCTCTCCTTTCTTTAGGGTCAACAGTTTATATATCACATTTAAAATTACTTCCGGCATTGTTGTAGGCCATCATACACTCAATCTGTGTAACTTGACTGAAGGGGCAAATAGTATTTCAGAAACCATCTGTGTGTACTGCAATCCAGGTGGAGAGAGAGTCTGACAAGAATCCATTTGCTCCAGCTACAGATGCAGCTAAATTATAGCACCAAACCAATGCTTGGGACCACAGTATTATTGAAGAGCTGTTGAAGCAGCATGTACATGAGGACTAGGTTTGTGTTCAGAGCTGGAGATGAGGAAGACTGGGTCAGATTTTGTGCAGGTGTGGCATTGCCACTCCCATAGTGCCAGTGAGTATTTTGCTGCCTTGTTTGAAGCTACTGGAGGTAAATGAAGTCTCTTTGTCAACGGCAAAAGGTGTTTGCTAGACTCCTAGGTCTTGTATGCATTATGTAATTTTTTCCATTTAAAATAAACAAAATAGCACCTATGTGCTACCACTAAGG